AATAACATATTGTCACTTTTCAGCTGAATTTTTCTATTTGCTTTCTCTGACATGGAGATGATAGTAGGAAATTACTTGGGTATCAACCAAGATTTTATCATGTTTGACTAAATTGGATAACTTATAAGCTTAGAATGGCAAGTCAGCCCTATACAAAATCATATGCGTTGCATAAATTCTGTAAACACTTGCACCAATTCGATATGGGTCCAAATGGTTTTAAACTAGCCGTATTGATTCATGATAGCCTTTTCCAAATGGAAGCAGACCAACACACCTTCCTTTTTCCCTTCTCTTTGTCCGACAACAACCACACGTCGAACAACCTGGGTAGCAGTTTAGTGCGATCTACTCGTTGGTAGCCTCTAAACAAGTCAATGTGCTTTGATTATTTTACAGGTAATTTGAGAAGTTCATGCTTCTCTGACCTGTTTTGTCTTTGTGGTCTCAAAAAACTCGTCCCCAGCCTCCCCAATTACATTTTCAGGGGAGTTTTAAGGGTTTAAATTCCGGGGTGAATTTTTGAAGGCAGATGGGTTTGTAGATAAGACACCACCCAAAGTTCTTGCGCTCATTTTGCGAGAACTTTATGATCTGAGTTCTGCTTTCATACCACATCATTTTATTATTTGTTCATCTCATTGTAGGTTGTATGTTTTATTAATGAATTTCTGTGTTCATAGGTCTTGAAGGCCTTATATGAATGTATAAAACAGATATTTTGGTCGACACCTTGATCGTATATATGCTTGATAATTCGAGCCGTGTCGAATATCTATTTATATAGAAGGATCGGGCTCAAACTGTGGTTCATTTATTGACCCGCGTAGCATCCCTATATGTGACATGTGTACCTGTAACAAGCTCGTCGGGGTCCATGCCGGTGTATGATTGATTACACAAGCCCTTATATGTACCTATATGTATACATATTACAATGCATGTGCAGGGGCATTCTTGGAATATTTATAAATACCTTTTGTCTGCTTGCATGGATGATGCAGATCCGGTGGTGTGGCGTCGTACTATGGTCCTTTGCCCATTTTGTATAAGTAGATTGTTGTGCACTAGTTATTGCTTTCTTCATAAAGATTAGTGTGAACTAACGAATCTTCTTCTTTCTCTTATTGGTAACTTCATTCACCATAGGTTTGATGCCTCTTTTTTGGCAGGCTTGTTGTTTTGCATGGAAATCTTTTAGTGCTATCCGTAGGCATTTTTATTTGCTACTATTCTTCTACGTTTCCTCATAGGGAGCATCTAGAGTATATGATGGCCTTTCCATAGCAGCCCGTAGGTGTTTGTATGTAGTGCATATATCTACTCTATGTTTTTACATAATACATCGTGTATATTTATGTTCAAAGAGGATCCGTTCTCCTTGTAAAGTGTTTATTATTGCCACTAACAAAGGATATCATATTTGTTTATATGACTAATGTGAGCATTACATCTCAACTGTCATCGCTTGTATGCAATTTGCAACATATTTTAGGGACTCTGTACATTTGTTCATCGACACTTCGCTATGCTCATTGTGTGTTGACTTTTAACATTCATAGTGGACAATTGTATTTATCTATAAGGTTGCTATCATTGACTGGGGGGAAGTCATAATACCCTTTGTGTGTTTTCATTGATAAGATGTTTCATTCGTTGAAGACTCTTATGAATTTAACTGCAATTAGACTGTACATTCCCCTTTAATTTTTTACGGGGTTTGAATGTATTTTTGTATGCCTTGACATTGATCGTAGAACATTGTCGCATCCATCGTATGTTGAATCCTTTAGTTTTTTGAAGATAGATGTATTTGCCTGCAACTAAGTTGTTGTTGGCTCTAGCAATATCCTCGGCATTCATTGCACGCTGCTTAAACACATTTATCGCCGAACCATTGTAAACCGTAGGGATATCCTAGCATTTGCTATAAGCTTCTGCATATGCCTATAGAGATATCATCAATTGCATTAAATCACTATATTCGTTGTACACTGGTCTCTTACACTTACAAGGTATCAGTACGGTCACTTGTATGTTAACTTATATTGACTGTGGGAGGGCCATACTTCAGCTTAAACTTGGTATGCACTTTTCAAACATTCATTCTTTGTTGTTCTTATACATTAATGTAGTGGAGAAGTTATTACATTTTGCATATCTTCTGTATCTACTTGTGTCATTGCATCCCTCACAATCCTCTTGCATATGTTATAAGGATGGTGGATAGTATTATGACAAGTCTCTGATTTCATCCTCGCTTTATGTCAAGCACCACCTTGATGCCTTGCTAATGAACCTATCATGTAACAAATCATTATTCATAGACATGTTGCATTCTTTACATGACATTTGATAATTTGCATTATTTATCATGTCTTGACTTTCAAATCTTTCACAAGAAATTGATGCATTTGCTTGTGAGTTGAATATATTGTCGGATGCATTGAGCATGTCATCACTATAACTTGAAACTTCGTGAAGGTTCTTTACATGAGCATGTCATCGCTTTAGTTGCGCTTTAGTTGCGCTTTGGTTGCGCTTTAGTTGTGCTTTGGTTGCGCTTTAGTTGCGTTTTAGTTGCGCTAATTTTAAAATAATATTTTATTAATATCCGGACCCATCTCTGCGTTTGATCACCTGACCCAATAATTTGCCCCCTCTCTCTCTCTTATGTGTGGACCGGAAATGCGGCTTGCGAATAGGAAAGGGGCGGAGAGATTGAGTTGGCGTTGGAGTAGGTGGGTTGGTTGAGATTTTGTTAGAGAGGGGAGAAGAGGTACTGGGTTGAGAGAGCTAGGGATGTCGGCTTGGAATAGTTTGGAAGAAGGCACGGGAGGATGCGGTTGCTTCTGTGGGATTTGGCCGGAAATAGAGGGAGGTCTTGAATTGAGAGGAGATCGGAAAGAGTCGAGAGTTTTGCTTTGTAGGGAGTGAGGTTGGAGTCGTGAGGCTTGCTGGAGTCATAGATTTAGAGGGGAAGAATGGAAGGCAAGAGGTTGAAGTCACGAACAGGGATGGTTGACTTGCAAGAAGTAAGCGAGATGAAGCAGCACCGAACTCCTCTGCTTGTCGTCGCTTAAATAAACAGATGCGAGCGCCAAAACATAGCAACGTTGAGGGATTTGAGCAGGAATCGTGGAGATGAGACGCAAACGGCGCCGACTTGCAGGATTTCAGAGAGGTTCCTTGCAGGATTTGCGGCAGAGATATTTTATTTTATTATTATTATTATTTTTTTTTATTATCTGTTTTAGGTCATCAGTCTTCAGTACCACATCATTTTATGATTTGTTCATCTCACAATGCTTCCCTTAAGGAAAGGAGTTGATCCATAAAATGGTTATACATGCTGCCTTGTTTTTTGTTGAGTTTATACAGAGGGTGTTGTATCTTAAAATTTTTCTCTTCCATTGATGTTCTTGTGACACTATGGCCTACTGAAGACAGCTGCCACTACTCTTGTCCAAAACAGAGACAGCCACTTCTTTTACTCAAGAGGAGCAGCAGTTTTATCTGATAAACCACAGCCATCAGATTATAACAAACCTACTATATCCTGACTGTACACGTGTAAAGCTAAACCAGCGTTTCAACTATATATGTGATAGCTTTCTACAGTAATACAGATGCAAGCATTAATCCATTCGACCGTAAGCTGTCTTCTACATCCTCTGCTCCTGCATTTGAGCATAGGACAATTCTTCTTCGCTATATTTTATATTTAGATTGCCATTCTATAGCATCTTGTCTTTGTTTGCTTGAGCTAGCCTAGGTTTGAGCAAGTTAATTGAGTCAAAGTTTGCGTAGCTATCAATCAAAACTTGTTCATGAAAGGATGTGCTACTCATAATTACCCAAACTATTCTGCATTAGAATTAAAACAGTATTCTCGATTTATATAAATGAGCTACTTTTCAGTTCATTTGAAAAGTTATTCTCCATAATTAAATTTTTTGGTAAAACACATGATCACCATTTAAGCATTAGTGAATTGGATATTGTTGAATAGCATTTTATGAGTTTCCTAATTTTTCGTATGGTCACATCCGTGGATCAAATGCTCCTCTTCGTGGATATAATACGTCTCTCCGGCATTGCATGAATTCTCTTAATGATGTCCGTGCTCATTCTGGTGAGCATCCATGTCGTAATAATTAACACGAATGTACCGCTTCGTAGCCATTTAAAGTCTTGTTGATGCTTGTCGCACTTCAATTGACAGTTTTCTTATTCTACGTGACCCATGTTCATTGTGATACATACAACTGCAATGGTGTCCCTTTAGATTTGGATAAAATCTCAAAGTAGTCCCCCGACTATTAGTAAATGTTCAATTTAGTCTTTGATTTTCCCAAATTAGTCCCCAAATATTAGAAAATATCACAATTTTGTCCCAAGGCAAGAAAGAACAGTTAAAATTAACCCTAATATTTAGATATGAGAGCATTTTGGGTATTATAGTGTGTGTGAGATTATATTATTTTCTAATTTTTTTGTTATTTATCAAATTAAAATAAATAAAAAATCATAATATAAATTAATCAAAGTTAGACATTTTCTAATAGTCGGGGGACTAAATTGGGGCATTATGAAAGTCTGAGATTAAATTGGACATTTACTAATAGTCGGGGGAATATTTTGAGCTTTTGCTCTTTAGATTTGCTATAGTAACTTTTTTATTGACCTTTATGACATTATCTTGATTTTAGTTTGACCGTACATAATGATCTTTTGTTGGGAATTCACATCGTCTTCAGTATGAGCTCTTCCTGAGGAGATAAGAGAAGTTGGCTGCTGTTCATTTTCATTCGTGAATACATGGGCATGACTAACCAATCGCTAGGATTATCAAATTTGATTATATCTTCCTATCTAGTTCAATTGCCTAACATTCCCATTTTAGTTATATTAAACAATGTTTTAGTCATTATCATTCGGCTTGTAAATTTTGTTCTGCCTAGTGTTTTCTTACATGCTGTGTATCTCTAATGTACCAGGCTATGAAACATAGAGTAGAGGATCTAGCAAAAGAACTGGAGCTTCTGAAGCGAAAGCTTAATGAGATAGAGCATTTAGCTTCAAAGCGGGGCCTTAGCATACTCAATTTCAGGCATGGAAATATGCTAAAAGACAGCAAGCCTGTTGCTGCTTCTTCATGATTCTATAAGTAACTAACATTGAATCGGAGCTTCTCAACCAAAAGTTTATTGAAGCTTTTTCTCTGATCATGTATCTTGTCCCATTTTATGGTTATGATATCATTAAAAGCGGATTCTTCTTTGATTGAAGCTTGGTTTTTTGATGGTTCACCTTGCTCATGCTCTTTCATGTTCTCTTTTTTTAGAGCCCTCTATAATCCCACCCTAAGCATTTCCTTTTTTCTTTTGAATGTACAATTAACTTCTCTGTTTGGTAAACTTTCATTTTATATTTCATATGGATAAGCTACTTGTCTATGGCCTCAATTCCTCGTAAAAAGGAAATTAATAGTTATTAAAGGAACTTCAGATTTTTTTTTTCTCGCTATTATGCAGATACCCATCGAAACATCCCTTGTTTGAAACAATACAAACGGAATATCTATATTTATAATGAAAGTATCCGAGTCTTGAAGAGTATGATATATAAACCCTCATTCTCAATGATTTTTAAATTCTTTAAAGTTGAATTGTATTATGCGTGAATTATCAGTTTCATACGGGGATAATTTTATAAGAAGGTTTTTATGATGAACATAAATCTCTCCTTTTTCCGTGCCTTTGTTGTTTATACTTTGAAAAATAATATAAAGATTCACTGTGAGCCATATAATTTAATCAAGCCATTTTTGAATTGAAAAAATCAATATAATTTCAAGTAGATTAAGATGTAATAATTATCAAACAATTTCACAACTTTTGACGTAATTTTAAGCACGAATGAACCTTTTTATTTCTTTAAAACCATCAAGCCTTCTTGGCCTCATCCGCAAACAAACACATCATTTTTACCGAAAACAATTGTTTAAAACTGTATTCATGAAATCAAAGCAAATTTGTTCTGCACGCATTCTTCTTAGAATCTCCTGAAAAAAGATGCTAGATTAACAATTTCATTGTCTTTTTATTCAATTTTGTTTTTGAGAGATACTTGATTTTATTAGCAATTAAGTTTTGAAAGGTATGACTTGAGAACATACATGAGAATGGAAAAGAGGAGAGCTCTCTAAAAAATGATCTATTTGCTCAAATGTTTATGGAAAATTGTTAAAGGATTCAAAAGATTTTTCTTCTTCTTTTATTTATAGAAATCCTAGGGTTATAAGAAGAGCTACATTACAAAAATAAAAAAAAAAGTTAAATGATTCATGGCCCTAATTGTTAACCTCTGTACAAAGAAACAAAAATAGAAAAAAATCTGTACATACCTCGGACTGAAATCCCGCGAATCCAGCACGAAATCCCGTCGAAATCCCTGCTGGAGCCGCTGAACTCGCGTCTCATCCCGGGATTTTTGCATGAAACCTGCGACAACTCCTCGATCGAACGCCCAGGACCTCGTTAAATACCGACCGAAGGCTCTTCTTCGGGTGCTGCTTCTCGTTCCGCTCTTCCACGCTCGACTCCACAAATTAACCTAAACATGCGTCCCACTTTGATTGGCTTGTTAAATGATTGCATCCCTTGCTCATGTTTTGTTGCCTCATAGTAAGTTCACTAGTCATGTGTGCATATTGGCATGCACGAGTGAGCTAGTAAGAGAGGCAAGCTTGTTAATGAATGCCAAAAGGAGAGGGTTATGTTTGGTGAGCTTTTCAAGGTCGTTGGTGACCCCTCTAGTTGAGCCCTAGAATGATATGAAGTGGGAGGTATGTTTTCTTTTTTTTTTTTTTTTTTTAGGTGAAACCCAAGGAGTGGCTTATGCGTTAATTAAGAAAAAGGTTACAAGGTCCTTAAAAGGGACCTCAATCTCTCTACTGCTTAAATGATCTACAAGAAAAAGCCAAAAAGAATTCTAAGAGCTCAAAGTCCCTACTAAAAATAAGTACAAAATAACTTAGATACATCTTAGGGTGGCAAGCAGCCAACACCAAAAAAAAAAAGAAAAAATCAACAAATTAGCATTAGACCCCATCTTTTCTTTCAAAAAATCACCTAAAAACCAGCACTAAGGAAATCCTACAAGAAAACCAACATAGAAAAAGAGGACAAGCACAACAGATAGGATATTTTATTGAAAGTAGTAATATCTAATAGATAAGTTAAAAAGAAAATAGTTACGTTCCTGTAGCTGCAAGTAATAAAAACACACCAAAAAACCAATATGTAGGAACATCTAAATTTACCAAATTCATTAAATTCCAATAAAAGTAAAACCACATATAGGCTACATTTAAACAACTCCAAGTAAGGTCCGGTGCCAAACCTCAAGTAACAGTAGGAGCTGCACTCCCCTAAATTAACAATATAATAAAAAACATTATAGATCATACTAATGTTGATAGAGCTTCTCAAATTAAGCCAAAACAAACCCTCTACAGATCTAGATAACTAATAAAGAAAAGGACAATAGCATGCTAGCTAAACAAACAAAATAACAAATCCAAATCCAAATTAAGAACTAGAGTATGTTTGAGCAGTGAGTTTAGTAGGCTTTAGGGTTAGTTGGTTATGAAGAGAAGAACTAGAATTGTCTAGGAGAAATCCTTTCCTGTAACTTGGATGATTAATATGGTTAATGACATTTTATCATGGGTAGTGGTGAGTTCTTTTGTGGGTGTTCTTTTCTAGAGGGGTGAGTCTCGACCAGAGTAGTCTATGTGAGTCTTAGCTTCACATGTGGGAGACAAGTTTGCTCTAACTTTTCCATCGAGTTAGGGATTAAAGGCCTTGGGAGTTGTCATGATGAAGTTCATGAAGTATGAGTTTCCATATTATGAGCCACTTAATACTTGTCTAATAGCTGATACAAAATATGCAAGTGTACATTTAGTTCCTCAATTCATTTGATTGTTTAAAGGGGAAGTGGCAAAAAGGATAAGTGAATTAATAACAAAAATTAAATATGACTACCAAACAATAAGAGGAAAGCAAATGCTTTACTATTGCCTCAATTTTCATGTAGATTCTTCATGATGATGATGTGATGCGACCCACATCTGACTCCTATAAGAAATATTCTCGTAATTGGGCTCTTCACTCCTTTGAATACCTAGATGAACCATGATGCCCTATGAGTGTGATAAATGGACCTTATCAAGCTTCTGATATCCAGTGCAAATCTTGTGAAGAATGTGCCAACTTGGTCATGGTGAGTGATATTATCTTCATGTACTAAGGATGTACCCGAGCTTGATGAGGAGTGGAATTACTCAAATGATATGATTACCAAGGTCGTGGTGACCTTAGTAGGAGCTGAGTAGGTTTCTCCCCTAAAGAAAGGTAAGAAGAACTATCTTCAATCCGTATAATGGATTCTATCTTTTGTTCGAGCATCTCTTCCACTAGAAAACCTATAATATGTCTCTCATCAAATGAGCTATCAGGCCATTCATCAAGTGAGTATGAGGTGTTGGTGTTTACCTTGATATAAATGTTACAATCAATGCAAGTAGGGCAACGAGAAGAATGACAATTAAGCAGGAAATTATTAAAAATGAACATTAAGACACCTCGGCTATAGTGAAAATCAATCAAGAATTGTTTGATCATAAAATAAGCTACTTCAATGCATTAAAGTTGTTTAATCCATCCGAAAAGAAATGTTTGTGTACAAGTAAATAGGTGACAAAAAAAAAAAGATTGGCAGGCTTGACGTTGTCCAGGATTGTTCCAAATTATGTCTGATTATGAAATGGATCACATTGTTAGATGCAAAACATCAAATTTACCAAAGGAGAAATGCTCATAGGAGAGTTGAATAACCGTGATTGAAAATAATAGTCTATGTATATAACATTGTGTGATGTCTCTCGAATATTGCATGTTCTTGAAATAGACTTTAATGTTTTATTCGGCACCTTGAAATTACCCAAAAATGTTAATAATGTCACATAGGAATTTTCGCATACCAAAAGAAAAATTTCACCAGTGTACGAGGCACCGACACATCAATTAAGACATGCAATTAAAGAGAAAGTGGGCAAGAGGAGGGATTTATTATTTTTAATCTTAATATTGCTTTATTGTTTTGTTATATATATATATATATATATTCAAACTTATCAATTAACAACAAATATATACTTTATACATGCTTGATGTGTTTGCCAGCTACCTATACTTGACAAAACAATAAGGAAATTTTTTAAAATGGTTTGTATAGAAATATAAAATTCGTAGAAACATAATTTAGATTAAATTTAGAATGATGCAAAGACACAAAATCATTTGGCAAAATTTATATTAGAGGAGAAACTCCAATCATTTTGTCACAATCAACTTTTTTTTTAGAAGATGCAAATTGCATTTAAAAAAAAATGATTACAAACTATAACTAAAGAAACTAATGGCAATCATTTAAAAGCTTTGTGAAAGGAAGCATTATTGAAAAGAAAATTAAGCAAAAGATAAATATTTGAATAATAGGAAGTATCAGAATAAAAATAAGATCCTCTACTCCTCATTTTAAATCAATTGGGGTGGAGGGGATATCAAAAATAAAACAACCAAAAAGGTTAATTATTATCCCATATTTCCCGATTAAGTAAAAAAAATAAGGAATAGATTTATTCTTAATATTCATTATTCTATCTCTGTAATTCAAATACTGGCTAATGCTTAATTTAAAACTAAGACTAAAATAAAAATAAATAAAACAAATAATCAAAGGAAAATACATGAACTATAAGCACTATTCTACAACCAAAGAAAAAAGCTGGATCTTCGCAGCTCCAAATAGTCTGTGTCCACTAACTCCATCATCTTCACACGAACCAAGGCATGTATTTTTAAAGCCCAATCAATATACTCCATATTTTCATAAAGTAAATCCATCAAAATCCTTAGCCCATTCCTTTTGATACCTACCATCTTCATCAATCATAAACTTTATTTTGAGATAAATGGTAAAGTGCCGCCATCACATTCACCAAGAACTCCCAATTTTCTTCCTCTAAGGCTGCCTTTGATAGCCCCAAACAAATTCAAATCCTTGTTCAATTTTTTATTCTTTACTTTGTACAGGTTTATAAGGCAAATGGATATTCTTTTCACTTTCAATCAAGCCTTCATTATCTTTCACATTCTCCTTACATGCCAAAGGAGAAACAACAGCAAAGTCTCCATTTTCATGAGCTGGAAAACTTGTAGCACTGCCTTCAATAAGCACCCCACCAGAATCATTTTTCAGCTTTATTTTCTTTCCCAACTTCAACTTTATCTTCATCCAATTTTGTTAAAGCAATAACACCCACAAAAGTTTTTTCAACAACATTAAAGTTATCTTCATTTGGAACAAACTCACCATCTTCTAAATG